TATGGTCCTCAAGCATGGTGCGCATCAGCGCACAATTCAAATATGGTCCTCAAGCATGGTGCGCATCAGCGCACAGTTCAGATATGGTCCTCAAGAATGGTGCGCATCAGCGCACAATTCAGATATGGTCCTCAAGCATGGTGCACATCAACGCACAGTTCAGCATGGTGCGGACAGATACATGGTCCAAGTACAATGCTCAGTTCACCTATAGCCCTCAAGTTTGGTGAGGGCGGATGCATAGCCCTCAAGTATGGTGAGGGCGGATACATCGTCCAGATACGGCGCTAAGTTCACATATAGCCCTCAAGTATGGTGAGGGCGGATGCACAGTCCTGATATGACACTCAGTTCACATATAGCCCTCAAGTATGGTGAGGGCGGATACACAGTCCTGATATGACACTCAGTTCACATATAGCCCTCAAGTATGGTGAGCGCGGATACACAGTCATGATATGATCTTCGGACTTAGTGCGCGCTGCGTGCAGTTTAATAGCATTATGCGTAGCCAACTAAGGGTCGAAGAGTTCAGACAACCACGACAGCGAGCAAGAACGGCGACAGCTCGTGGGTGCCCATCAACTTATTGGGTCAGAAGTGAGCGACCATAACCCATGAGAGGTAAGTGGACGAGAAGGTGGTAACGGGGACCAAGAGAGAAAAAGGAGAGAAAAGAAAGGAGAGAGAAAGAGAAGGTGAGGGGTAGAAAACTGCACGAGACAGGTGACTAGGCGAACTCCCGAGACACTTTCCCCTGCCAGCCTTGCCCCTCCCTTTCCTTACCTCTGCCCTTGCTTGCCTCGGTCTGACCCTCTCTTGCCCTTAGCTCCAGACTCTTCTCATGTCCCATATGGCACGTCGCTGCTCCTTGTGCATCTCGCTCCCTCTCTTGCTGTTCTGCCAGCACTGTCGTACTCCCGCAAGTGAGGGTTCTCTCGGTCTGTCTGATCTCTTGGGTGACGTGGCCTCTCTTTTATAATGGAGAGGCCAAGTGATCGGGGCTGAGTGCTGCAGTCCCATGGTTGGGGCTGTGATCAAACTTTAGACCGGGCCTGAGCTAAGAATAGCAGCAGTCCCGACCTTGGGATATGAACGGTCAGTCCCCAGCAGACGAACAGTCAGTCCCATGCTAAAAATAGCATGGGACTGTGCTAATTTTAGCACGGGACTGGCGCAGGCCCGGTCCCCGGTAGACGAACAGTCAGTCCCACGCTAAAAATAGCGTGGGACTGTGCTAATTTTAGCACGGGACTGGCGCAGGCCCAGTC